CTGAGGACTCCTAAACTATTGTGCTGTGAGCTACTTATATTCACATAAGTAGTATATAACAGCAGTCAGGAGTACAATGTATTTCGAGAAGGTAACAACGGGAACAGAAAACAATTGACATTAAAGTGTACGAACAGTGAAATCTGAGAGTATGGACTGAGATTTGCGAAGGAAACAGGCAAGTTTGAGACAACTGACTGATATTTTGCAAATTTACTGCTTACTGTATGATTCTCAGATTTTATTGAGATATTCTGTTATTTCGTGTTCGGCTGTCTCCACTTGTGTTCTTGTTTACTACACTATGACAAAATACCTATTCAGTGATTCTTGATTTTCATTTGTTGTAAACTACGGAAATACGTTTTCAATTTCTTCTGTTGCATAGTAGTTGGACATTTTATTCATTAAGGATGTTATTTGTTTATAATACAATCAACCAATAGTTCATTACAAGTTAGATAACTATGTTATTTTTAAAATTCCAGTGGTCTGTTATGAACCCAGTAACCCTGTTTGTATAACTAGATATATATTTATCATCGTATTTACGTATATTACTGACAATTAATGAATTGTAAGAGACTCAATATAAACGATACAAGTGACCCATTTGATAGAGAAATACCTAAGGAAAATACATCTATCTATGAAGTTCAAACTAAAGTGGTTTCCTCCTTAATCTATTCACTTATATACAATTCAATCCAAATGAATGAGTGCAATTTTTGTGTCTAAAAGTACTTTTCTCGACCATTTCTTTATCTTAGTCTTTTGGATTAATTAGAAATTTATACGTATATTACTTTTATCCGTGTACTTAGGTGGTATGTTTCCATGATTAACCTATTGGTTTGTAGGCGGTTTTTGTTGTTAACGGTTCTAGACTAAAGTATTGTTGATAATCAGGGAATACTAAACAACCACTTTATGGTGAGGTAGAACTTATCATTGGTACATATCGCCTATATTCAAACAAAACAGTCAACGCATAACTAATAATGTAACCAACTTTTAGATGAATTCTTGAAGTTCTAGCTGAATTCTAAGATTGGTAAAAGGGAAACTACAAGAGTATAGAAATAGTATTGGATGGGCGTCATCTAATATTCGCAATTATTTAAAATACAAAATACGAAACTCATGATGATTTAATGATTTAACTCTCAATGAACACTGATTGTTCTCAGTTCATTTTCGATTAGAAAGTAACGTGTAAACTACAAAGAAGTTCAAAACTAATTGAGATTTTAATTAACACTATGAAAAGGTACTGAAAATCTGTTTTATCTAGATATGACACACATTAGCAACGATACTTTAACCGCTAAATAATTTCGCATCCGTTTACATCCAATTTGTTTTTATGATCATGTATGGTCACGATATTAAAGACGTATTATTTAATAAGGTAAACATTTTTACACTTAATTACTTTGTTGTTTTTTTTTAGGTGAGAATATTCTTGAACCAGATCAGTACTCATTGTAATGCTACATATTATGTAATTTCCACACCAGGGTTTACATTTGAGAAACTAATCATCTGGATTTTCTGCTTAATTACGCTAAATACAACGTAATATATAGATGTTTTACATAAATCAGACATGAAAAAAAATAATATCGAAGGGGAAGGGATTAATCAAAAAATATAAACTAATTAGCCTAATTACATTGGTCAGAGAAAAAGTTTGTACAACCTAAAGAATAAACGATTGTATGTTTCGTCGATACTTTTTGTGCACCTTCATTAGACGACCAGCAGGTTCTAAGTTAGACCCTTGAATATGTTGTTGAAAAGTCTTATAATAGTACAAAACAGCTCTTCTATGCTCTCTGGTTTTCAATGGTACCCCAATTGAGATCAATCTGAGACTAACATTGGTTAGAAACTTAATAATTATTTATTTACTCCGAAGAAGTTGCTTAAATTAGGTTAGGAAACGCCAGAAATTTTTCTATTCATTGGAATATAACAATAAATGATTTTAGAATACCTTTAAAGCTTTTAGTTACTTCTTAAATATGACTTAACTAAAAGCTTCACACCTCTTCAATATAAAGTAAATTTGGTTAAATGTCTCAACCACTGAATCAAGTTATTGTGTTCTGAAAACAGTGAGGATGGCGAAATAGATATACTAAAGAACACATTACGAAATAATGCTATCCAGATAATTTCGTTAAAAAAATACTAAAAAAAGAATAAATTGTGACACAGTCAGTAGAAAAACCGTATATATCTGAGACTAGACTTTAAAGGGGACATAGCGGGCGATATTTTAACACGTCGACTCAAAAGATCTGTCGAAAGGACGTTTCACGCCGCCATGCTACACATAATTTTCTCAACTAAACCAGTACTCACACAACTAATCAAGGATAGGTTACCACTGATGGGCTCCTCCATGTGTGTATATCAATTCAACTGCTCCTGTGGAGCTAGTTACATAGGCCGTACTCGACGGGCTTTATCCTTGCGTGTTTGTGGACATGTACCAGCATGGTTGATAAAAAGAGTTACTAAATCGATTAACAGCACTATTCTTTCACATTTGGTAGATAGTGAACATCATATCGAAATAGAGGAAGCTTTCTCTGTTTTATATCAAGTTCCAAAATATCTATCTACATTACGATTGCTCTACATAGCCCAAGCCATGTGGATCAAATCCAGAAGACCAAACTTATGTATCCAGAAAAAGTATATTATTATTATTATCTTAATTGACAAGATGAAATTCTCCTATTATGTATTTTATTCGCATTTTCAATTTTGCTATAATACTATTTTCAGAAGGGGTTTTATGGAGATTTTAGAAATTTCACCACTATTCTAGTTGGTTAAGCGCCTGGCACGAGACTGATAGGTCCTGCGTTCGAATCTCGAGGGGTGCGGGATCGTGGATGCGCACTGCTGAGGAGTCCCATACTAGGACGAAACGGCCGTCCAGTGCTTCCAGGTTTTCCATGGTGGTCTAGCTTCAATCGACTCATGATTTCAATCAGTATAATACTATTTTACTGATTGTGACTGAACACTTTACTCCAAATCATTCTGACCTACATTAAATGACCTTTCTGATTTGCAAATAACACAATTTTGAAGCATATATATATCGTAACAGATGCAAACGTACACCATCTATCACTTAACATTGTCAAATTTATTAATACATACCTTATTTTTGGCCTTTGTAAAATATCATAATTATGGACTAATAAATGTAGAGCCTGATGATGAAGTTATTGAAAACAATTGTTTGCTCAAATATTCTTCATTTTTTTCTTAATGAAATGGATTCATTTCATCCTGATGAAAAGTGTTGTTGTTCATGCTTTAAATATAATCTAAGTGGACGAAAGTAATTTTCCCAGGATTATTAATGTGAATAGTTTCTTTGTTTATATAAGTGAAAAATCTAGTTTATTTATTACATAATAATTATCTACTTAATCGAGTTTCTGATCAAACCAAGAATCATTTCAGTTCTATTTCGTAAAACATTACACAAACGTTTATAAATCAACATAAGGACAAAAGCATATCTAAACAGGTGAAAATTTGTTGTAACGCTAATACTAACTTAGTACAATATCTTGATATATGGATTATTACATTGATTTCACTTACAGTGATTAATAATTCAAAGTGGCAAGTATGTGAAGCCTAGTTGGATCTATCATAGATAAATTCATAACTTTTAAAAGTACCTTAGTCATCAATAACAAAAATGATGATAACATTATGGACCTGGATCCAATATGTAACAAGTATGTAAAGTTGACGCATGATGGTTTATATGTTCGAATAATCAGTTGGAGTACCATTAAAAACGAGAGAGGAAGGAAAAATTTCTCGCCCTTGTATGGGACTAATGAGATGTGCAAATCTATGATCATACCTGATTATCGCAATGAACCCGTCACTGTTAAAACCAGTGAGCTGACCTTCGTCTTTAATTCATTTTCTACATAGGTTGATGAACAGTGAATATCACTGGTGACAGTATTTTCATTCATACTATTTCTGAGCTTTAAATATCACAGTTTTTCACCAGAATTCTTAGAATATACAAATGTTACTAGTGAACTGGATATTATAATTCAGCTGATGTGTATTTTGTGAATATTGAACAAGTTCATAGGTGATGTTCATTATCTGTGTGAAATGCATCATTTTTACGATCAACCAATTAAAGAAATTAAATTAGATTAAGTTTTTGTATATTTTAACTAATAATTCTTTGGCATAATTCAGTATCACCTAAACAAACTCGTTAGAAACTTACTCAAACATTAAAAAACTGAATCGAAATCGTATGTTGTTAATTTTTTTGACGTGTTTCTTCGAATTCGAAATGTGACGTTATAAATGTCAATTATCAGTTACTACCTAGTTTTTAAATTGTATCCAAGATTACAGGTGGCTGAGATTATCCGTAACGTTTTCCCTGTTCAACAAATGCGCTCTATCTAACACTTCCTTTTATTTAATATACGGATATTAGATATTGAAATGTAATTCTTGCTAAAGATTTCACTTTAGTTGTTCGAAGTTATTTGCACTTATTCGCTAACCATGCCTGAACAAAAGTATCAGTATTTTAAAAGTAAAAGCTTGAAACGAAATCCTCGGTACTCATTCACTAAATGAATTGAAAAGTGACTGAAAACGCCGAATACAACAAACTTATTGAATACAAAAAACTTCAGTCATCATAGGTCACAGTTTCTATTTATAATCTACTCACTAATATGTTTATAACACTTTCTTAATAGGTTACTTAATTTTGTGAAAACAATAAACTTTCAAAATTCATATAAACGTATGTGTATATAAAATTCATTTATTGAAATCGTCAAAGAATGTTCAATGGTTTTCAATGATATCACAATTGATGTTATTCCACAATCATTTCAATCTTTATAAATATTCTATATGTTAATAATTGGATGAATAACAGAAGAAACCTTCCAAACAAAATGTGGACTTACCAACATATTGACGAAATCCAATTATAACAATAAATAATACAATTATACCACTTGTAAATTGATAATTTAATTGATCTATAAAATCCACACCTTCTCCACCATAAGGCACACGAAATAATCTTCCTAATTTCAATGCATTATTAGCATCCATAATGTTTATATAATGTATCTATATGTTAAATGAATGTATAGCACAAAGTTCAAATTTAGTTGGCTATAATTCACTAAAGTAATCGGTTCATTGTTTTATCTCATTCATTCATTCATAAATTACGAATCAAGAAAAGTGCAAACAAACAAACAAACATACACCCACACACACAAAGACTCCTTTTGGATCGAAATAATTTCTGGGTAATATCATCAAAATAGAATATAACGTCGATCTTATAATTCAATAGTGAATGTAATAATGTTAAAGCCTTTGATTTTCTTTATCCGTTAAAGATATACAATATACGTGTGAAAACAAAGCAATTTATTAAGTTTATGATTGTAACTAATCAAATCAATTATCCATTATCGCATAATAAAATAAATTTTCGATATTTATTCGATTGCATAATAAGCATATTATTATTATTATTATTATTGATTGTATAAATCACCAATTGATAACCCTGAGCACTAATGGGGATGATGGCGATGATGGGGACGATGATGATAATGATTTTATTAATCTCTAAGATGATTCTTATTCGTGTTTTTGTGTTTAGCTATTCAATTCCATTGGCTCTGATGAGAACCGATTATTTTTTCAAACAATAAGAAGCTACTACAATAGAATTAAAGTAAACAATAAATATCCCATAGTTATTTTATCCTTTCAACATGGATTATCCTAGATACAGATTTTTTTTTAAAATTTCATTTACATAACCATCTATAACTATAGCAAGGTAAGTATTATATACATATATGAATCTATATAGAGGGTGTATATGTGTTTCTCTCATCAACAACATTGGTAACAAACCAATTGTATGTTGTATTCAAGTTAAAAGTCTTTGTAACAATTATTTTTTCCTCTAGTGCGTATGTGTCTAGCTATCGCTTGTAAATATATATATATACTTGTCAAATGTATATTTATATAAAAGGGATAAAATAGCTAGTTTACTGTTTAATAGATTGTTTGTTTGCTTGGTTGGTTGGTTGGTTGTTTGGTTGGTTGTTTTTTATATTGTTGCTATTCACCATTTACCAATGAACTAATAATTTCTCTATACTATTTTATTTATATCGGTTATCATTATTGGCATCGGTTAGTTTGATGTCAATTATCATTTGTATTTTGATCATTGTTATATTTCTATAAATAAATTATTATAACTGATGACAAATGTTTACCTAAAAGTGATTGAATCATTTCACAGTATTTTAGGCTGTTATATCTCGAAAAGTTGATTTTTCTTGATACTACGGCGTATAACGTGAGCACTAGAACACCAAAACCCTTCCAAGTCGCAATAAGAAGACAGAAGACTAATGAAAGGAATATTATTCCAATCAGTGTCAATCATAGTACAAAATTGTCAGGTATTTATAGTTTTTAGTGAGAACAAAATCATCATTACAGTCTTCCAATCCGCATACAGGGGGTTATTAGCATTATCGAATCGGAAAGCTACAAGTTGGAATTCTAGAACATTCTTCTGAAAGGTGATTGAATGGGATGTCTTCGGCTCCTTCTGAGCCTCTTACAGCTTCCTCGAGTTCACCGGTGGTCCGTCGTCACATAGGCGCCAAGTTAATATGACACATGAACAAGAAAGAATGTATTTGTAAAATCTCAGCAAATAAATTTGAAGCATAGTTTGTTTGTTTCCTTTATTAGAAGGAGTTTTGTGGATATTACAGTAATTTTAATAGTTGACATCATGAGTGAATTGAGGAGTCCTACAATAGGATGAAACGGCCGTTCAGTGCTTTCAGGTTTTTCATAGGGGTTTAGTATCAATGGACTCATGATCTCTACTATTGAAATAGTTTTTTTGTCGTTGTTGTTGAAATAATGAGAAACATTGAGATTCATAATGATCATTTTGATTCGATTTAAAACTTAATATAACAAGTTATTGCCTAAATGAATGTATTAAATTAATAGAGAATATTAGTAACATTTGAAGAATTAGGAAATGAAATGTAAGTACCTTCGACAAATGATTTTTAAATATGATCAAATGTACATCTTGAATTTCAATGATTATCATAATTTATAAGTTTAAGAAATAGATATATCAAAACTAGATCAAGATGCTTACTTATAATGTGTAAATATCAACAAGGACGGACCAAAATTCACTTTCACTAGATCATCACCATTACATCAAAGGTTTATTAGCATACATGATTTTCTACTATTCATGTTGATACTTATATGTAAAGCATGTTGAACATTTAAAAATCAGTGCGATCATATTCTGACTGAAGAATCTTGAATTAAAAAGAAACACGATGAGTCTATAATTTATAAGATAACAGATCTTAGATTTTGGCACGAAATTCACTCACCCATTTAGTCAAATAGCGTCTTGTCATTTTAGCTGATGTCATTTCGTGATAGAAACCCTAAATATAATACCTAACCCTAACCATCGACTGTAAATTATAATCCATATTATTCAAACACCTTTATAACCCTCATTCAGCCCTAGTAAGTAAATAGACACTATCAAGATCACTATGGCGTAGCTTGAAAGTTATCCATAAATTATAATCTTACTAGAAACACTTTTTCAATCTTTCAACAGTTTACAAAAAGACATTAGTTATTCATTTAAAAAATAATTACTATTTTCAATAAGTTTTTATTAAATCATTAAACTTCACTAATCCATTTCCGAAATTTCATCTGGAATATAGATGTTCACTTAAGTCCTCCTAGGGCCCCCCCTGGGGCTATTGTCGGTCCCAATACCAGACAAAGGAGGAGGGTTGGGCATGAGGTTAGCGACCCGATCTCATAGAGAACGAAGTCTCTGAAAAAGAGCTAACCAGAGAAAAAAAGATTTTCATTTAGTAATTTTTGTAAATTCCATGACATTTAGTTAAAGATTTTTATTATTTAAAAGTGAGAAATGAAAAATACAAAACTTTTCTTTCAAAATGATTAATTCTCGTTATCTTGTGAAATGAACGGATTATGGTTTATCAGAAGTATCTTGGACGTATAATTAGTATTATTCAGAATTCATCAGCTAGATATACCAGCTTCAGCTAATCGCTGATATGCACATCGGAAATCGGTTCAATTAGTTTTTTTCGGTTTGAACTCCAACGCTTCATTTACCAAGCTACTAATTTTAGCTACTTACTAACTTGCTTAACTGACGTTATGTTCATATCAGAATTATATTCTTGTTTGATGATATTTTTATACGTAGTCTTGATAAGGTATTTTTGCTTGACTCAAAAATTGTACTTTATAAGCTCTAATTATGCTACTGTTGTTTGTGATAAAATCGTGCTTGAGATATGTCTATGGTTTATGCTACACATATATCTTTCGACATACATAATTTGTAACACCAATCGAAAGTGGAATACTTGACAGTTGAACGTTAAGAAGATCGAATTGAAGGGAACAAGAATGTAAACAAAGAGTAATAGCAATGAAGAGAAGATAAAATTTTAGACAATTGATGAAAGATTTGCAAATGAAAATTTTAATTTACGGTTTTCACATTGTCTGAAAAAACTGTGTAATTTCACACTACACAGTAAATTGATTGTTCCCATTTAAGTTATTGTTCACTCCATATACAAAGATTAAGCACTTGCGCGCTAGACCGATAGGTTTTGGGTTCGAACCCAGCGGGCAGGATCTTGCATTCGCATTATCGAGGAGTATCATATCAAGACGAAATGACCTTCTAATGCTACCAAGTTTTCCATGTTGGTCTAGCTTCGATTGACTCATGAACTCAACTATAATATCCACAAAAAGCCCCCATTCTAACAGTACATATCTATCGAGATTATTAAAATTACTATCTGTTATATACTAGTGTTTAACTTGTACGAGTTATTGAACAGTTTGGATTTAATTAAGTTGGCGAATTTATTTATTTATAAAAAGATAACAATTCCAGACAAAGTACTGTATTTTTACACATAATAACAATGAAACTGTACACTTTATCATAACTTTGTATGTATGTAGAGAATATTTTAAGGAAATAATCATTACCATTTAATTAAACTCAGTTCCAAGATCAATAGTTTAACTCAGAACACTACTGTCTGAATTCATTCATTTTAGCATGATAAACGACTATTGGATATTTTAAAATAAACTGATTGTCTGAAGATTACTACAATTTGTAATTGATAAGCATCAAGGATTATGTATCAATTTTAAGGGTTGAGTTATAAGTCAGTTGAAGCTAGACCATTGTGGAAAATCTGGAAGTACTGAACTGATAAATCTTGGATTCAAATCTCGCAAGGCAGGATCGTGGATGCGCACTATTCACGAGTCCCACCATAGAACGAAAATGCCGTCCAGTACTTCCAGGTTTTCCATGGTGGTCTAGCTTCAATTGACTCATGATCTCAACCATGGAAATCATTACAGTATCCACAAAACCCCTTCTGATTATGTATCAGTTAAGGTAACATTGAAAAATATAAAAAATTAGACTGTATTTCTTTTCCTCTTATGAGGCCCTTTATAAATTGACCACAGTAGCAAATGTTTACGATCGGATATTAAGTTTGTGATTTTGTTTAATCCTGTTTCATTTGTTTTTTCATTCTATAAATTAAATAATAAGCATCTTATGATTTAATTTGATTCTACTATAAGTATTCCAAACCACAAACACTTGTTTATTAATTTAATAGTTGAGTTCAGGAGTCAATCAAACCTACACCACCATGGGAAATCTGAAACCACTGAACGGCCGTTTCATTCTATTGTGAGACTCCTCAGCAAAACACATTCATGATCCCACCCGTGGGATTCAAACCTAAGACTTACGGTCTCGAGCGCGCGAACGCCTAACCTCTAAACCACTGAGCGGGCATCCAAAGTAAAGGAATACCATAAACAAACACTGTAGTATGATAAAAGACCTAAGAAGACACAGAATTTATACGAAAGAATAATGGTTAGTTTATGTTCAGATCTATTCTTGATTGAAGTACATAAAAGTAGATTTATAAAATGTTTACTGAATCTACATATAATTTTTGGAAATACAAATTAAATCGACGTAAATATTGATATTTTTCTCCTTGTTATTTTCTATTGACTAAGATTTTCATTTCTCTTCTAGTTCTATGGGGCATAATTAGTGAGCAGATTTTTTCTGTATTTTTGTGTAGTATAGTTAAGTAATACAAATAAACCCAATGAACTATACATGAATCAATCAACCAGTCAATCAATCCATCTATCCATCCATCTATCTATCTATATTATTTATTCCAGTTGATTAAATTCATATCTACAATATATGATTAAATGAGTGAGTGTGTATGTAAAAGATAAGGAGACAAAACTATTGAAGTAGAATAGTTTATCTTCAAAATGGTTAAGTATTCAAGTAACTTAACTCAATCGTTTTTACTCAAGATAAACATTTATATTAATAGATGAAACATACTTAACAATTTCAAGTGAGACCAATTATTGAATGAATGATAAAATGATATTTAATTTTCTTGATTGTATGTATAATACTTTAATATATTTGAATTTTAGTTAGCAGTGAAATTCCTGATGTACATTTTGTCCTACTTCAGGACTCATCAAATGAATGTTGCTGTCAGATCTTTGCAATGGTTTTCACGTCAGGAATTAAATCCAATCGCTACAGATTCAAACAATTAGGTATGCATTAAAGGACTACTGAATTTAGCCCTCCATATCAAGAACAGGAAAGCTCACACGTCAAAATGTATAATTATGGTTCTTACTTATATTGTAGTGTCAATTGTTATGCTGCCCCTAAATGCCCTGATACGACCAAAAGTGGGGAGAGTCCGCTCTCCCTCACATAGTCACGCGTATATATCCTCTACCAGGGAAATCCTACCCACTGCCTTCTCGTAGCATTACTATTGTTTACGAAATTGAGAGGAGGAAAAGCGAATGTCCGGATCTTTAACTGGGTTGGTGGACGCAGTGAGTCCACCTAGAGGAGTTGAAAAACCCTCATTCCAAACCAATGGTGCACGTGGGCTCCAGTATCCTGAGGGAACAAATGGAGTATGAACCAATTGTTGGTCACCGGCTACCATGGGACTACATCTCCTTACGATGCTACACTGCTTTTTGGGTCAGATCTTTAATTCGAAGGCTCCGGGTGTGGCCCCCTAAGAAAACCACGTGTTTCGGTCTGGTCACTCGAGCAGTATCACAGCCCTCACAAAAATCAAATGAGATTTGTGTGGCGCATATTTATTTGGTGCCTCCTTGTACTAATATCTATGTGTTAAAATAAATAAATAATAAATACAATTGTTATGTTAAGCCCACATAGCTTACTCTGGCTACCGGAGAAGCCAATTTATTTATTCTTCTTAAGTCCCATTTTAATCTTGTTAACTATTGGCTTATCAACCTTGACAATTTTTATGTAAGCGTACATGTACGCGTTTCTTATTTTACTCATCATATATCTGTAATTTATTCTTGTCTGACTATAAATATTGAGTTAAGGTAAGCTGGCTCACTAACCTTCTCCGTTGAGCGTCATTTTGTCTTGCTTCTCTTTCTGATCAACGATTGTACGAAATTTCTAATAATTTAAAAAAGTAAACAAATGTTTTATGAAAAAATAACTACGAAAAAGTCTCCAAGCAGCAGAAATACAATTATTAGGTATACTTCTTAAAGTATAATTTACGGGTGAACTTTCAGCGACGCTGGAGTGATCTTGAGAGTGTCCACCTAATAACTAGAATCAAATGAGGGTTATACAGCTGTGTGAGGAATTACAATTATGATTTGCAGTTGATGATTGGGGTTAGGAATTAGATTTAGGATTTTGATCACGAACTGACATTAATTATAATGCCAAAACTCTATTTAGCCAAATGGATGAGAGAATTTCGCGCCAAATCCATGACCTGTTATTTTATACTTGATTAGTTCGTCCAGAAATTATAATCTCATCAATGTAATTTGAAATGTCATGGACATTCAATTTTTTAGTTTGTTATAGGCAGGAAAAAATGATTAGCGGCAGAGATTACACCGATGACTTCAGTTCTTACTAGACTGATTTTCCATGAGAATATGAATTATTGAAAAGAATGGATGATAATAGAAGTTTCAGTAGTTGAGATCATGAATCGATTGAAGCTAGACCACCATGGAAAACCTGGAAACACTGGACGGCTGTTTCATCTTACTGTGGGGCTCCTCATTCGTGCGCATCCACGATCCCGCCCCGCGAGATTCAAACCCACGACCGATAAGTCTCGCGCGTGAACGCTTAACCACTTGACCACTGAGCCGACCGTCATCCAATGGTGTTAATGTCTAACTTCAACTAATCCAGTATTATAAACTGAAATCACCAACAGTATCGTTTTTTAATGTGTTACTTAAATGGCGGGGGGGGGTAAGAATGCTTTAATAATGTTCAGTATATATTTTAAATGTTTGTTTACTAATCACTGTGAAACGTTTTGGACTGATATTTAAGATAACTCAAATGGTTGGTAATTTTGATGTATTTGGGGAAGAAAATAGTATACCTATAGGATCTCTATTATTAGTGATAAAGAATTATTATGCTTATTCTTTCTTATAGCTTACTACTGAATGATTTAACCAATTTGAATCAATATAACATATTCTATAAGTAGAATGGAACAGTGAATATATATATTTATACAAAGGAAATCAAGTACTTCACTGTTTAACATAAATATGTACAGAGAGAAAAAAATGTTTATTAGATTCAAACAAATCAACTTTATAAAGAACTAAACATTATAAACAAATTGCTTTTCACGTAAAATCATCACATTGAAATTCTTGTTTCCTGTATTGTTTCTTGATTTGTTTAAATTGTTGACTTGTTAAATGAATGAATAATAAAAGCAGAAAACACATTATTATTATCATTAGTAATAGTAGTAGTAATAGTAGTAGTAGTAGTAGTAGTAGTAGTAGTAGTAGTAGTAGTAGTAGTAGTAGTAGTAGTAGTAGTAGTAGTAGTAGTAGTAGTAGTAGTAGTAGTAGTAGTAGTAGTAGTAGTAGTAGTAGTAGTAGTAGTAGTAAACGGTAATACTAATCCTGAAGACATTGTAAACAGTTATAGAAGACTGCTGAATACGATAATGTTTATTCATCTCTACTGTTAATTGATTGTGATTTGTTGTTATGGATGTTATCTAGTAGATAAAATAAAATATTTTTTGTGTGCTTTTATATTAATTTACTATTTTGATAAATATCAAATAGAACGTTACAAAGAAAACTGATCAATCAGTGGTTTAGATCTCGGAAATCTATTTGATTATATTATTATTAGTGTTTGTATTGATTGTACGGTGTACTTGGCACCAATTGAATTGATTGATTAGATATTTTAAGTGTTTAACGCTTTATTATTTCTTAAAATGTCTTGAATACCTAAGACAGAAATAACAAACTGAATGTAGTTCGATACTAAACAGAATGAAATGATTTAAAATAAACTTTTTAAACTCTCAGTTTGCATGTCCTGTAGAGAAAGCTATATTGGGTCCACTATCAGACAACAGGACCAGAGAATTAGTAAACACTTGCCTTCATAGTTAGGAAGAGATACTGTCAAGACAATAGGTAGCTCGTTTGTATCACACTTGATGGATAGTTGTCATGTAGTAGACAGAAATAAGTCATTTAAAGTTATTAATCGTATTCTTACTAATTTACCCTATGGTGTTCGATCTCGTCTTTTACACATACCAAAAGCTATAGGAATTTGAGCCAACAAATCAAGTCTCTGTGTTCATAACAAATTTGTAACACCCTTATCTTACCCTTGACCTTAATAAATAATTTTATTTACTATTATTTTCCATACTCTTTTTTTGTTTATTTTTCTTCACACTCTCCCACTCTTCTCTTTTCTCAGGTATTCGCTTCACGGTCCAATTATCTGAACACCTCTTATTACGTAATCCTATAATCTTTCTATGAATGTTATTTTTGTATCTAATTATTGACCTATTTCTGATTATATAACATTGATTTAAGCCTTTATTATTCTTATCCAAACTAATGCATCTGTTATCACACTACCAATTTGCACTTTTCATTTATTATGTTTATTTATGTAATCCATTCTATTGTTATCATTGACTCATAAACTACCTTGATTGTTCAATTGGTACTGTTTGGCTTGTATCTTCATATTGAGGTTTAAGACTGTAATTGATCAGTCTGTTATTGGCATATGTCCATACTGTGCGTATTGCCTAGATATTGCCTTAATTCACAAGCTTTTTGTGAGAAATGATGGATCCCAGAACTTAGTAGCTGAGTGGATAACACAATGGCGTTTGGAGCGAATGGTACTGGGTTCGAGTTGTAGAGTGAACATCAACTCTGAGATGCAGGAATATCCAGCTGATGAGTCCCAAATAGGACGAAACGCTCGTCCTGGATTCCACTGCTAGCCACTATTCATCATTGCTACCTTGATTGGTTGAATAATTTCGTATATGCATGCAAATATCACTGTATATTAAGAGTACAGCCTGATGAGAATCTAATTGGAAACAGCATTGTTCACTTATGTATGTTGTTATAGGTTCAATATGTTCCAATATTAAATCAGTATAATCATATATCACTTGAATAAAACATCATCCTTGAAAACTATACTTTCTTTTCCTTATAAACATATATTTATATTACCTTGGTTAAGGTTACCTATTCATCTATTTTACAATAAAGTACATTCAAGATTACAACATTTCAATAGAAATGATCTTTCACCTCTCATATATATATATATATATATGTGCTTACCCTTATATTAAGTTTATGTACACAACATATCATATAGTAATATACCTTAGTGATATAATCATATCATTTCGAATATCTTAATAATATTTATATTTACACTCAATATATTGTCAGCTGTTGTAAACATTTATTTGTAAGAAATATGAATCTTTAGTTGTTGACTACTCTTTCTATGATAGACGTTTAGTTAAGCTTAATGTTATATTAAATAGACCAACAACAGAACAGCATGTAATCAAATACACAAATTACATTATACTAATATACAAATGATTCATAAAATACTGAAAGTGAAAAATCATAGTAATGTGTTTATATTTTATCTATAGAAATTGATTCACATGTAATATCCTAATAGGCCATTAATGTAGAGTAACAAAAGTATCAGAATGTAAAACACTTCAATGTAAACAAAATCAATATGGACCTAAAGTTTATTCAGTGACTGACTTCAAGAGATACTCCTGGAGTTCTAGTGAGAAGCTGTTACCAGTGGAGTTCAACCAGGTCTGTTATGAGATAGGAACTCACTGAAGAAAATGGTAGATGTGTCGTTCAATTTCATGGATTAGTTGAAGTTAGACATTAACACCGTTGGATGCGGGCCGGCTCAGTGGTTTGGTGGTAAAGCGTTTGCGCGTGAAACTGATAGATCTTTTGTTCGAATCTCGCGAAACGAGATCGTGGGCGCGCACTGCTGAGGAGTCTCTTATTAGGATGAGACGGCCGTCCAGTGTTTCCAGATTTTCCATGCTGGTTCAGCTTCAATTGACTCATGATTTCAACTAGTGAAATTATCCAGATTTGTTTCATTATATAATTTAAAAAATAAATATGTAAATTATTAAGACTATTATTTGTGTTTGTGATAGGATAATGTTGAAGAAATTTTACATTATCAATGGAAAAATAATTAGACAATGATTGAAAGCAATAAGCACTGATCAACCCATCAGTCCTAGTATGAGACCATTTAGTTACAGTACGTATATACCAATCGATAGGTATTGAATCCACGACTTGCAAGCATTATGAAGGGAAATTATTAGAGATTACTGAACGTCGGTGTTTTTATATAATAATTTGATTTCAGATAAACAATCAGTGAAAAACAAGAAGTACCAGAAATTTGTTTAGTTGTAGTGTGAGACTCCTAATTGACAATATGCATCCGAAATCCCACCAAGGATTGAAACAAGGATCTTCAGGTGAGCACTGAACCTTCAGACTACTGAGTGTGCATCCAGTTTTCTATCTTTCAAACTTGGATCAACTAGCGATTTCTAGCTACAAACAGATTCAATTATCACTTAAAAACCAATTATATGTCAGTGTGTAGTTATGGAGATTGTTCTAATCGTTTAGATCACTAGTGACTGGCTTCGAAATGAAATATCCAAAGTTCTAGTTAGAAGCTATGATCACTACGGGGTTCGAACTCAGTATAGTTCGCTTCAAAAGCCCAAGCATTATCCATTTAACTGGTAAGTTAAGACACCCAACATCTATCTGTATTATATAAGCTTGTTAAACAATGGCTATATCAAAACAATTCTCACAGAATGTACATATGCCAACCAAGATTGATGAAACGACAATAAAAATATCAACAACACAATAATCCAAACTATTTCAAATTGAATCTATAGACTTGTTTTACCGATAAATATCTTAATTGAAAAACTTACCACATATTACTTCCAAAAACTTAATGTCATTATACACGTACATCAACGGAGGTATTTTTCTTGTTGAATGTAAACATGAACAATGAACGCTGACTTGAAAACAACTGATTTATCCAGCAATTCATTTACCAAATATTATAATGAGTCATTCTTAAACAACTATTTGACATCCTGGATAAGTATTTAATGTGTGATAAACAAGTCACTTAACTTCCCTCCTATATGTTTTTATATATTTCGTATATAATACTTCACTTGAATTCTTTCCTAAAGAATTATACCTTGTTTTGCGACTTCATTAAGTTCTCAAACATACATTCGTAATAATAATGACAACTATAATAATAGTGTAGTAAACGAGTACACAAGTGGTGACTATCAAATGTATTCGAGTACAAAATTACAGAATATCTTAATAAAATCCAAGAGCCGTACAGTAAATACTACATTTACAAAATGTTAATCAATGGCCTCAAACTTCATTGTTCCATCACTTGGACACTAATCATTCTCTATTCTCATTCTCTACTGTTCTATCTTCTTTATCTTCTACCATCAAATATTTCACTTTCGATTGATGATGTATGCTACTGATATCTGTCGATATCAGTAGCATACACCACCATAGTAAGGATAATAAAAGCTAAAAAAAGATTTTATGTAAATAAATTATTCAAAGAAATGACCAGTACAATTTATAGAGTGTCACTTTAACTATCCCTACGTTATAGAAACGTGCAAATAACATGATAAATTTTAACGAAAGGTATCATTCATTATTATTTTATTTTATTTTTCTAGTATTTATCAATACGATAATATTCATGTTACTAGTTATTAGTGTAAAAAAAATATAGTTTATGGCTCATATATTCATATTTGGATGGATACAACGTTCAATATACCACAATAGATAATCATAATCATAATGATAATAATAGTAATGACAGTAATAATAATAATAGTAATGATAGTAATAGTAATAATAATGGTAATAATAGTAATAATAAGGTTCTATCATGAATAATTACTTCAGTCACACAATATCTAAACTGGACATGAAATAGTTATCTATCTACCTAACTTCTTCTTTGTTATGTATTCATGAATGCTTATTCTCTAAGATACAAATACATTTCAATTCCTATTTCCCTCTTTTTTGTTTGTTTGTTTGTTTTTGTTTTCATTTACCTGTTAAAATAGTGAAGATCATGAATTGAATGACTCAATTATAAATTATTCACATAATTCACTACTAATGGATAAGTGGATTAGGAAAAGAAATGGTTATTAACTTTGTTTATTTAAAATTTTCATGCAATTTTTGTTTTAATCAAGAAATAATTGAAGTTTTATTAATAAGTAGTTTGTTAAAACAAAATTATTCTCCAATTATTAGTGTACATTAGGATGATTGTAAATGTTTTTCTTTGTGGAAGGGAATAGAATTTCTAAGCAAAGAAGGATAGTGGCTATTAGTGGAATCTAAGATGCGACTTTCGTCCTATTTGATATCCGTCAGCTGGATGTACCTGTATCTCAGAGTTGATGTTCACTCTGGGACTCGAACCAAGTACCGTTCCCTATGAAAGCCATC